TATAGGTATATATATGGAGTCATATAAGATACAAAGTAATGTTACAAATGACCAAGAATTTATATAATATTGCTCTAACTGCATGAAATGATGAAATTAAATTACATAAAAATGAAAGGGAAATATGCTAATGTTTTAGTTGCCTTTCTATGGTGAGAATCCAGATTTTCTCCTTTATAGTTTTTGGTATTATTTTCCAACTCAAAATAAACAAAGTATTTTTATAATTTAATTATTTTAAAAATTCAAAAATTATTATATAAAGTCTAAGAATATAGCTCAGTGGTAGAGTACTTGCCTGCCATGCGTGAGACCCTGATTTGATTCCCAGAACTGCAAAAGAAATAAAAAAGTAAGAGAAGGGAGGGAAGGAAAAGAAAAAGGAAGGAGGAAAAAGAGGGAAAAAGGGAACAGGAAGGAAAAAGGGAGGAAAGAAGAAAGAAAAAGAAGGACAATAACAAAAATCCCTGCCTAGATGAAGTTCACATTCTGCTGCAGGAGTCAGGCAATAAAGAAAATAAACAGAAAAGGTATGTTGGAAGGCGAAATGTGCTTTAGGGTAAAACAGGGTTTGCAGCTTCAAGTACAGCTGGGTGATGTCTGAGCAAGAACCTGAAGGAGGTAAGGAGTGAGCCCTTTGCTGTGTAGGGAAGAAAGCAGCAAGGGCTAGCACCCCAGGGACGCGCACTCGCAGGGGCCAGGGTGGAGTGGGCAGCCATGAGGAGGGTTGTGGGAGAGGCCAGCAGAGGGACAGGCTGCGGAGGGCCTTGCTGTTGAAAGGACTCTAGCTTTTACTCAGGGTGCGAGATAAAGCCCCTGGAGGATTCTGAACCGAGGAAAAACATTGTTTGACTTCTAAGTTAATAACACTGTAGTGGCTGCATAAGCAAATTGCAAGGGGTGGAAGCAGGCGTGGGAGGAGAAGAGACCACTCTGGAGCTTCGGGCCGGACAGTGTGGTGGGACTGGCCACTGGGAGAAGCCAGAGGCCTGGGTAAATTAAAGATTGGTTCTCAGCGCACTGGAAGGAAACTTGCTGGTGGGTTGCACCAAGACAAGAGGACAAGAGCAAGTCGAAGTGCCTCCAAGGCTGGTGACCTAAGGAGCGGGACTGACAGAGTTGCTGCTGACAGGTGGGAGAAAAGCAGAGGAGCAAGTTCCAGAGGAAGCCCTAGATGGCATTGGGTTTGAGAGGGAAAGAGTCCAGGGAGCTCAGGGAAGAGGTCTCTGCTACAGACAAAGCTAGGGGCTGGCTGAGGTCACCCAGGGAGCAAGAACAGGTCTAAGGCTGGACAGAATGCGATGGCTGGCAGTGAAGGAGACTGAAGAGCAGACCCTGCTCTTTCATTCTGTTAAATATAGGCAGTAACTCGTGCAAAAGCTTTCTAGGGGCTAAACATTAAAAACAGGTTTTTTGGGCCCGGCATGGTAGCACAGAGCTGCAATCCCAGCACTCAGTAGGCTGAGGCAGGAGGACTGCTGAGAGTTCGAGGCCAGCCTGGACTATATAGTGAGGCTCTGTCTCAAAAAACCTAAAAATAAAAAAATAATTTTTAAAAAGTAACTTTTTTTACAGGATTTTTACAGTATTTTTTTTGTACTAGGATTGAACCCAGGGCCTCTGCACCGAGTGATAGCCGCAGCTCTTTTTATTTTAAGACAGAGACTTGCTAAATCACTCTATTGCCCAGGTGCAGCTCAAATTTGTGATTCTCTTGCCACAGCCTCCCAGAGTGCTGTGATCACAGGCCTGCACCATCATACTCAGCTTGTAAACATCATACAAGACCCTTCTAAACAGAGTATGGTGGTGCACACCCATAATCCTAGTGCTAGGGAGGCTGAAGCAGGAGGATCTCTTCGAGTTCAAGGCCCACCTGGGCTACACAGTGAGTTTGAAGGCCAGCCTGAATTGCATAGCAAGACCCTGTCTCAAAAAACCAAAAACAAGAAGGAAACTAGGAAGGGAGGGCAGGGGAGGGACAGCGAGGGAGAAAAAGAAAGGGAGGAAGGGAAGGAAGGAGGGAAAAGAAAGATTCTTCCTACAGGACCCAAACCATATTTTATGAATTTTTAATATACTACAAAATTCTCATTCTCAACAGTGATTTGAGATCCCTTGCTGTCACCATCTGGGCTGGACATATCGAATACTTGAGAACATGGCCCATGCCAATAGGGCCACACTGCCTTCTGCTCATTTTAATCAGGATCATGCTCTGGTTGTCCTCACCAACAGGGTCAAATCTCTGCCCTCCTGAAGACTTGATTCCACTGTAATTTTTTTTCTTCTCACTAGCACTGTTGCCCTAAATCTACTGTTTCAGAAACTGGGCAGCCTCCCTATGGTGGGCACATTACTGTCCTGGAAATGACTGCAAGAATAAGCTTTTTATCTGGATGTGGTGGTGCATGCCTGTAATCCTAGCACTCGGGAGGCTGAGGCGGGATTGTGGTTCCAGGCCAGCCTGGGCTATGTAGTGAATTCAAGGCCAGCTTAAACTATATAGCAAGACTGTCTCAAAAAAAAAAAACAAAACAAAAAAAAACAATTCTAGTCCTTTTAATATAAACTTAAATTTCAACATTTGAAAGGGGGGGGCCAAGGATTTAGCTTAGTGGTTCCACTGCCTGCTTTTGCAAGCGCAAGGTCATGAGTTCAATCCCCGGTACTCTTAAAAGGGTGAATGATCTTCAGTTGTTATCCTTAGGTAATAAGACTAAGGACAGAAAAAGCAAGAGTAAGGAGAAGGGAACTTTAATTTTGTACTTTGCTTCTCATTAATATTTGAATAGACCGTATTGTGTTTTTTTATTTGACTTGGTTTTGGCATTGTGGTTTGAACATAAGCCCTTTTCTCTGAGTGACATCCCCAGGCCTTTATCAAAATATTTTTGGACCAGGGATTTAGCTCAGTGGTGCCACCGCCTGCCTCCCAAGCACAAGGTCCTGAGTTCGATCCCTGGTTACCTCCCCACAAAAAATTATTTTGAGACCAGGTCTCACTGAGTCACTAAGGTTCAGGCTGGGTTCAAACTTGTGATCCTCCTGCTTCAGCCTCCCAGAATGGTGGGATAGCAGACATGTGCCACCAGACCAGGCTTGAATATACTGTTTTAATTTTTTAAAAGCAGGGCCAGGGATTTAGCTCAGTGGTTCCACCACTTGCCTTGCAAGCTCAAGGATCTGAGTTCAATTCCCAATACCCAAGAAAAAAAAAAAAAATTTTTTTTTAAGGAGAAAGAAAAGGCCATGAATCAATCTGCCTTTCACAAACCAATCAATGCAGGTTTGGAACAAAGGCACACAATGTTATAGACAAAGGACACAATGCCCTTGTGCATTCCAGACACCAACCATAGACACATGTTATATAAGACAGGAGAGTAATGTCTGTATACTGATGAATCCAACTGAGATTCACTGATACTTTATATGTCAAGGTTCAACTGAAGAGCTTTAGTGTTCTGGCCCTAAAATATGTCCTGGGTACAATCAGGTCTTAGGCTGGATGCTGAGGTCATACTTTCTACACCCTCATAGGAGAAACAAAAACAAAGCAGTAAGAACTGGGGTTTAGACTGGTACACCAAGGACAATCATCCTCTTAAGAGTGAACTGCAGGCAGAGAAAGGCCCTGCAGTGGCAGAGGTAAGAAAGGGCTTACTTTGACCAAGGGACACCACCATCAACAGAAAAACCAGAGAGCTCCAGGCCTGTTGTCCCAGCAATGAGAAGCTGAAAGAGGAGGATCAAGAATTCAGGATCAGAAGCCAGGCGTGGTGGTGAACACCTGTAATCCCAGCACTCGGGGGGAGACTGAGGCAGGAGGATCACTGTGAGTTTGAGACCAGCCTGGGCTACATAATGAGTTCCAGGTCAGTCTCAACTACATAGTGAGACCCTGTCTCAAAAAAAAAAAAAAAAAAAAAAAAAAAAAACAATTCAGGGTCAGGACCAGGGATTTAGCTCAGTGGCCCTGCACCTGCCTTGCAAGCTCAAGGTCCTGAGTTTGATCCCTGGTACCAAAATAATAATGATTTCAGGGCCAGACTGGGCTACATATCAAGTTCAAGGCCAGTGTGGACTGAAAAACTAAAGAATGGCCAGAACCAGCATAACTGCAGGTGATGGGTCCTGGGATGAAAGCAGAGAGGCAGAAATGCCCTCCTTGTAGCTCCTCCACAGCAAAGAGAACAAGGCAGAGCAGCATATAGAGGCCTGGACACTTCCCCTGGGAACACTAGGAAGCTGTCTTTAAGGACAGTGGCAGGGAGGGGGACTGATGCTGCAGGTGACAGGAACCACTTTCATAAGAGAAATTATATGGAGTCAGGATAGATACCTGAGCTGGCAGATTTATAGCTCTAGTGGGACCAGGATGAGGGCACTGCATCTCATGGCTTGTTTTCGTAACTCATGAAACAAGATCATTAGCTAAGACAAAGTGCAGGAGTATCTGAAGCAGCACTTGTCTCGGAGTGGGAACTACATTAGTAAGGACTGCTGAGTATCGCCAACCCTCCTCCATCACCCCCAGGACTGGGGTTTTCCCTCTTACTCCAGTGCAGCTGCTCAAATGCAGGTGCACAGTTGGCATCCAACACATCTGGGCAACCATAGCCAGGCACAAGAGTGAGGGAGGAAATGGGGTTTCTCCAAGTGCCTGCAAAAGAGCGATGACAAAGCCCATGGGATCTCCCCTAGGGGCTTGGGAAGTAGAGATAGGAGAGGGTGTGATGAAGTAAAATAGCAATGGGTGCACTAGACTGGAGGGCTCAGTAAGATGGACAAACTGTGAGAGGACTAGGAGAGAAAGTGGAGGTCAAAGTCGGATGTCAGAACTTCGGTTTTTGTTATGGCTTGTGTCTAGATCATAGGTGCAGCATTTTGGAGGCGGCTGGATCTAGGGTATATGGATGTGCATTCAGGGTGTATGATTCAGGGTGTGTGCTGGGCAGCTGTTCAGCGAGTGACCATATTCGGGACAATGAGACTTCCCTGTGCCAGACACTGCACAAACACTGGGGTGTTGACAGGAGACAAGGCTCTCCAGCAACACAGGATACTCAAGTGCTTCAAATATTTTGCCCAAGGGCAAGTTTCACCCAAACAAAAAACAAGAACAGGGTGTGGCAGGCACACCTGTAATCCCAGCACTCTGGGAGGATGAGGCAAGGGGCCTGAAAGTTTGAGCCCAGGCTGGGTAATTTTTTTTTTTTTTTTTTTTTTT